TTGGGATGACTGTTTAAAACCCTTTGTCACGTCATTTATCAAAATTAATTTCAGATGCAATAAAATCACCAAGTTAAAAACAACTTGATGGATTTTATTATCAAAAAATTAAATTTTTATACTCTAAGAACATCTTAAATAAAAATCAAACCTGGAAGAATATTTGGAATATATAATGTATAATATGCTTACATATTATGTATTTATACATTGTATAAAGTTGAAAGTTTACTCAAATATTTAAAGCACTCTTGTAAATAAAAAAGAAAAGCATATGGGATTTCCCTGGTGGTCCAGTGGTTAAAACTCCGTGCTCCCAATGGAGGGGGCCCAGGTGCAATCCCTGGTCAGGCAACTAGATCCCGTATGCCACAACTAAAGATCCCACATGCTGCAATGAAGACCCGGCGCAGCCAAAATAAATAAATATTTTTTAAAAGAAAAGAAAAGAAAAGCATAATCCCTTCAGTAGAAAATGAATGGATAATATCCCCCAAAGATACAAAACAAATATAAAAAATATTTAACCTCAGCAGTAATCAACAAGTACCAAAGAAAATTACAGTGAAGTCTTCCTCCCAATCAAATTGGCGAGGATTTAAGAAATGGTAACACAAAATATTGCAGAAATGGAAGGAACATAGCATTCCTCCCATGAATGCTAACAGAAATGTAAATGGATACAGCCTTTTAGAGGGAATAATTAGAAAATGGGAACGTAAGATTTAAAATATGCATGCTCTTTGATCCACCAATTCTATTTCTGTGAATTAGTCCTAGAAAAATAGATATATAAGAATATAAATACAAAGAACATCATTTCAGGATTGTTTATGATCTTGAAAAATTGAAAATAATGTTCATTTACTGAAAAGATGTTTACAGTATAGTATTAGGTGGAAAAGTAAATTTTAAAAAGCTTTGTATAATAGGACTCATTAAAATGTATAATTACTTTTAAATATATCATGAGTATATTTATATTTATCCTGATTCATGGGGAAAAGTACTTTATATTAGCTGACAAAACTTTAAGAGATTCATCTCTGAGTGCATAGGACTGTAGTTGATTTTTATTTTCCATGATTTTACTTATCTTTATTTATAATTTTAAACATAAATAGATACTGTTTTCTGATAATAATAAAAGAAGAAAAACCAAAACTGATAAAAAGGTTACACTCACCTCCACTCCAAATCTGATTATGTACTTACTACCCAGCTTAAGAAATCTCTACTGACTCATTTACTGCATAAATATCCAAACACTTTATCTTGGCACCCAAAGTTGTTTCACATCTGGTCTTACAAATGATATTGACTTCATTATTCACCTCTGTATCCCATGCGTCCTCCTCTGAATACTTTTGGAAACTGCCAAGCCCTTTTTTTCCCCTCTGCTGAAGAACCTCTAACCTTATTTTTCCATAAAACGTCACCTCTTCTGTGAAGGCTTTCTTTCCCCCCTAAGAAGAGTAAATGATCTCTCAGCTTTGCTCTTACAGCATATTTTTAAGTGACTTGTCTATTTTAAGTGACTTGTCTATTGTCTTCCTAGCTCCTGCCACTGAGAATCACATATTAGCAACATTCTAGGTAAATGCAAGTACATCCATGGTAGCTATGCTTTCCCTATCTCTTGGGAGTTCAAAGAGTTGGCCCTGGAGGATGCTGCAGATTAGATGAAATAAAGCGGAGATTTGTAAAAAAAAAAAAAATCACAGCAAAGCCAATATAAGACCATCACAAATGTAATTAGGAATTCTTCACATGTAAACAGAGTTTATACAATATAATTAATTGTATTTTTTCACTCAAATTAGTGAAATTCAAAATGACAATTTTAAGCTCTTTCTAAAACGTAGCTCACAGGAGCTTGTGCTAAGGGGAAATGTAACAAAAAGTAGATAGATTGATGGAAGGATGGATGGATGACTAGATGATAGATAGATAGATAGAAAGAAAGATAGATATGAGAGATAATAGTGTGCCATTCTTCTTGATTACGGATTCATGAAACTATGGGCATATACTATTCTGAAAATACATTAAAATAATCCATTTCAGACTCTTTTCCTGGATAACTTTTGAATGTTTGGGGGATGGCGATTTGTTTTCAAATATTTAGCAAGCTAGCTCAGATCAGTTTGTCGTGGATGCCTAGAGTCCTACGCTGGCTCATCCCTATTCAGCAGAAAGGAGGAGAATGATCAATGGTAATGGGCAAGGGACAAGGGGTTGGCAGTATATGCCATCCCTGGGCATATCAACCTCTGAAACACTTTGATAACGGGAAATTAAGAGTTGCAGGACTGTATAAACTTTCTTCTTTTGCTTTTTCATTCCTTGATTCTTGTCTCTTCTTGCAGGGTCTATGTTCTTGGATAACATCCCCAAATGATGTTTTTTTTCATAGTCAATTCTATATAAATTCATGTTGATGATTAAAGTACCTTTAGTCTTTAGCTACTTCAACATAAGTAAAAAGATTGGATTATCATGGTTCATTTTAATCAGTCAGTAGGTAAAATCACTTAAAGCAATTCATTTTGTGGCTGAATAAGCACAAACTATTTCTCTGCTATTGCTGTAGTTTGGCTACCAGCTTACACTAATGAGCCGTTTTAAGAATAAGAAATTTGGGAAGTTATTTGGCTGGGGTATGCAAAAATAAGATGTCATGCTAAGGCTTGTTAAAAGTTCCTCCATGACAAATTCAAAGATACACAATATTATTAACTGTATCTTGGCAGCTCATTTTCTTCTTTTATAAACAGTCCAAAAAGCTGCTCTGGTTTATTTAATTCCCAGAAAAGAAAAATTGGAACCATTTAGCCTGCTTAATATCAAAACCTACCTGACCCAAGGGAGAATCAGGAGGAATTTCACAGAACACTTTATTTTAGTTACATCATCCCATACACAAACTCTCTGACTGCAAATAATATAGAATTTTTTAAAAAGCCCTAATGCAAATTTTATAACATTCATTTCTTCTATAATTCCTTCCTTTAATGCTCTTTCTCTGATTCCTTTTCTTTTCTACCATCCTTTAGGAATTCTCAAGAATTAATGTCTTATTCTTTGCTCCTTTCCCGTAACATTTATTCTTTTCAGAAGCGCCTCCATTCTCATGGTATGAATTACAAACTTTGTATGGATTGATTGCTAAATGTTTACCATAAGTTCCAAACTCTGAATAATTTTCTGTAGATCAATCATGCTAATATCAAATACTAAACTCTTTCTTTACCGAAAGTGATGCCTTTAAAAAATATATTCATCCACTCATTCTCCATTATATTACTACCTATTATCTTTTACCAGAATCATAAAAGTGATCAAGTGCTAGTCATGTCCTGAACTCTTCCCCATCTCTGTCTAAACTTTTCTTAGTTTCACTTCAGCTCTTCTTTTAGGGCCCTGAAAAATTGTTCATTGAATAGTAAATATGAGAAGATGATGAGAATTACGATTTTAGAATCTCACTCTGGCAATAGTGTAGAAAATGGATAGTTGGAACATACCTTAAAGGTGATTTTAATTCTTCAGTGAAGTTAGGGGTGAGGGAGGAGAGGAAGGAGCAGGTCATAATTATGTGTTAGCATCTGTTAATGACTTTCTATGTTATCTCTTCCTGGGAACAATCATATTTAAAATGGCCCAAAACTGAAAGAAAGGAGGAAGAAAAGAAAATGCTTGCACTGGCACCCATACAGCTTGGTGTGTGGTATTCAATAAGTCTTTTCTGGTTAAATGAATAGCTAATGGGTTGGATTAATGGTGAAAATTTAAGTCATCGTGGAGGGCTGGCAGGGGGCATATTTTTTCTCTAAAAGTGGCTTTCTCAGCACATCTCCATTTGCATCATGCACCTGGCAACGCAATTTACTTCTGGGATGGGTGCCCATCTCTTATCTTCCCTGACTAATCACATTTTACTCTTATCAGTCTTCTACGTCATTTTGATATTGTACACTTCTTAATAATTGCCATGTAGTAATTCTCTGTCATTTTGCTTGCACTTATCTTGCCTCCCCGCAAAGAGTATTTAAACTCCTTAATGTCAGAGACTGGATTTTCTGAATCAACCACAATACCTAACAGAGTCTCTGTACACTGGAGATCTAGATATGCTGGATGCCTTATTATGGAGTTCTAATTAAATATGTTAACAAATACTATGTTATGATAGAAGATATTCAGTTTATTCAGTTACAGGTGTTTCATTTTGAGTATGTTAGCCTGTTTTATTTTATTCTATCCTGTTTTTGTATTTAATTTGAAACATTTCTCACTTTATAGGAAAATTGCCTTTAGTTTCCAGGAAGCAAACATTTCCAGAAGATTAGTATTTCAATTCCTTTGTTGTCATTACACTATCTCTTCCCATGATTTTAGTTTCCAGATGTTGTTGTGTTTCTTCAACATCTGTGAATCTTGATATTTGGTTTTATTCATACGCAAAAGTCCTGGAATTGAAATGCATCTAGTACAGTCACAAACAGCTTTAATTGAATAATTTATTTAAGCCTTAATAAGAGTATTTCATCACTTGGGACTTAGTTATGACTAGTATAGAGTCTGAGAGTTAGTAAAGGAAATTAATCCGGTAGTTCCTTTGTGACAGGAGATATTGCATATTATTTTACAATTTATATAATATTAATTCTTTGGTATTATGAAAGCACTTTCTTTTGAATTTTTATATTTTTCCAGTTTTATTGATATATAATTGACATATAACATTGTATTAGTTTAAGGTATACAGTATAATGATTTGATATATGAATATATTGTGAAATGATTACCACAGTAAATTTAGTTAGCATACATCACTTCACATAGTTACAATTTTTTTCTTGTCATGAGAACTTTTAAGATCTACTCTCTTACCAACTTTCAAATATGCAATACAGTATTTTTAACTATAGTCATCTTATACATTATATTACCAGAACTTAGTTATCTTATAACTGGAAGTTTCTTTTGAGTTTTAGAACTTACTTGTCATGAAGATAACTGTTTGCCTTCTTGTGAGTAAAGACTTTGCTTTAAAGTCACGCCACCTTTGCAAGCTGGATCCTGAGCCCCTGGCTTCCTCAGAAAGTAGGAGTGGTGGTATCTGTCTCTCTGGGCACGAAGACGACAGGAGAACACATGAGGAAGGCACACTCTGAGTTCACCTTTAAGACAGCTCAAGGTTATCTACTCCCTTTTGAGGAACTTTACAGAACAAACAGCTCTGCCTCTCTGGGTCTGTTCTAGACTTGTCATATAAAATATTGAAAATTTTTAATTACTTACTCTTTCTATTATGGAAAATATTTTCACCATGATAATTTCTATTTTAACACAGTTGGAACGCTAAAGGAAAGCAAAGATTATAAAATTTATTAAAGTTTGTGTGTTAGTATTCTATTACTGCCATAACATATTACCACCACTATAATGACGTAAAGCAATGGAAATTTCTTATCTTGCAGTTCTGTGGATCAGAAGTCGAACAGAAGCCTGAGTCTCACTGGGCTAAAATCAAGGTGTTGACAGGGCTGTGTTCCTGTCTGGGGATTCTAGGGAAGAATTCATTTCTTTGCCTTTTCCAGCTTTTAGAGGTCACTGCATTCCGTGCCTTGTGCTCCCCTTCCTCCATCCCCAAAGCCAGCAATGTTGGGTTAAGTCCTTCTCATGTTGCATCTCACCGATCCTTCTGTCTGTTGCATCTCTCTCATCACAGCCAAGAAAGGGTCTCCATTTTTGAAAGATTCACGTGATTATATTGGGCCCCCACATCTACAAGACACCGGCTTTGTTTTCACATATGAAACTTTAAAAATTATAGTTAACTGTACTAAAAAACCCCTACCTTCAATCTATTTCTGGTATTAAAAGATAGCAAGCTCGGGCTTCCCTGGTGGCGCAGTGGTTGAGAGTCCGCCTGCCGATGCAGGGGACGGGACGCGGGTTCGTGTCCCGGTCCGGGAAGATCCCACATGCTGCGGAGCGGCTAGGCCCGTGAGCTATGGCCGCTGATCTACGTCCGGAGCCTGTGCTCCGCAACGGGAGAGGCCACAACAGTGAGAGGCCCGCGTACGGCAAAAAAAAAAAAAATAGATAGCAAACTCAGTCTCAAACCTGCTCCCTTTCCTTGAAGTCTTCAAGCAAATACCTGAACATGATACTGCACGTGTTATTCCTGGTCAAGGACTCTTGTGGAAGTTTGCCTGTAGTTCTAAAGATAGATTTAGGCTAAAAGCCCAAAGAAGACCACAGAGAGGAAGAGAGTAGAGTCAATGGAAGAAGCCAGGCGAAGTGTCGGTTCATAACATCAACACTTCATGACACACAGAAGTTTACCTCAACTATGAATTTTACTCTGTTTTTTCTCTTGGCATAGATCAGCTAGCACTAGTAGAAATGTCTTTGCAATGTGGATGGCAGATATAATAGGAATTGGTGGCTTCAAAGGTGGAACTTTAGATTCCAGTTCTTCTTTATGTTTCTTGAAGCTAGTGCCGCTTCAAATTGCTCACCTGTACTATACACTATATAATACACTCATACTGAATAGTATATATATACTATATGCACTATATACCTCCTCTATAAAAACAATAAGAATAATAAAATGTACAACTCTTCAGGAGTACAAAATATTATGATGGGTAGCCAAATTTAATAACTACCATAGAGCACCATGTTTGAGTGAGGTATTAGATTAAGCACTTGATATTATCTAATTTAGTCCTCACAAAAAACTTATCAGGAAGACATTAGTTGTCTTCACTTTATAAAGGAGGAAATCAAGGCAACTTTCTCTAGGTCTCACAGCTAATAAGTGGCAGAGCCCAAATTGAATCCAGGTTTACTTGGCACCAAAAGTTTTTCCTCTTACATGCTAATCAGTGTGGTTACATTTAATAATAATGAAACTTCTAATAACACATTATTCCAAATTTCACTTTCAGGTCAGCTGGAACACTACTTAAGTTCTACTTTTTTTTGTCACTTTAGTCTTTCACATTTACTCTTTGGTCTCTACTGAAATTTTAACTCAAAATCATCTGATGTGAGCAAATTTTTACTGAGCCTGAGAACAAAAGTGTGAAGGAAATTTCTAGTTAAATATTACAGGTGACTTCTTGTTTGCCCTCTCTGTTTCCAAAACTATTGTAAAGGAATAACAATGTATAAATTAGAAGGGCAAAAGGAATGGGAGATGATGTAACATAAAATATGTCAACAAATTTTTGAATATGGAAAGCTGACAGATGAATTGGTAACTGATTTAATCAAAGAAGAAAAAGCAGAAATCTGTTTTTGTAGAGAGAGATGTCAAATGACACAAGAGGATAAGTGTCATAGAACCATAAAGATTCAGGAATCAGAGAAATTACGTACCCAAGAAGATACAAAGATTGTTTGAAAGTCTCTTTAAGATGTAGTTAGGCATCTTGATTTCATCCTTACCTTTTGCTAGTATCTACCTTCCTGCATCCTGGTATTAAAAATAAAGTTGTTGTCTGGAGAAATTGAATTCAACGGCACTAAACTTAGAGACATATACTAAAGATTTGATGATTAATTGAAAGTATACAGAGTGAACTATGAGACCCCAACCCTTTTCCCATATTTAGCTTCAAGAATACTGACAGCTAAGCCTATGCCATCCATAACATGCATTCCTTAGTCAAAGGTTGGAGCAGTACTTTCTGAGGAAACAGACCAGTCTAAATGGAAAACCCCACAGATACTATGATTTGAGGATCCTAAAACAAGCATCTACAATCACCACGTGATCTAACCACCCAATCAACACATCTCACCCCTGGACATACAATATCCAGTCAGCATTTTAGGGCTTCATTCTTAAGTATGAATAAATAGCCGAGAAGGAGGAAGAGGCAAGATTTTCTATGACCTTGTGGTGCATATATATTGTGTTCTATTATGTTCATGTATCTCAAAGTGCTCTTATGAGCAAAACAAAAATATGATCAACACACCTGATGCAGACATTGAATGCCTGCCTGAAAGTTGATTATCTAGCTCATTCTGCACTGCGTTTCAAAGAATTGCTTCCTTGTACCTTCTTCCACCATCCACCATTAACTGTCAAGTCTATTCTTCCTCCCTTGGTGAGTACAGTAAATGTTTATTTTATTAATAACATTTTATTAAATGTTTATACTATTGGGTGGGCCAAAAAGTGCCTTCAGTTTTTAAATTAAAAATAAAAGACATTTTTCATTTCACCAAGAACTTTATTGAACAATGTATTCACTCTTTTGTTCCACTACCTTCTGCTATTTTTCAGGCAACTTCATAATTCCATCTTCCCAAAACTTTTTATCTTTTTGAGCAAAGAACTGTTCCAGGGAAGACTTTCAGTCTTCCAGGGAATTGAAATCTTTTCCATTAAGAGAATTTTGTAAAGACCGAACTAAATTGCAATCCAAAGGTACAATGTCTGGTGAATACGGCGGATGAATCAGAACTTCCCAGCCAAGCTGTAACAGTTTTTGCCTGGTCATCAAAGAAACATGCAGTCTTGTGTTATCCTGATGGAAGATTATGTGTTTTCTGTTGACTGATTCTGGACGCTTTTCATTGAGTGCCGCTTTCAGTTGGTCTAATTGGGAGCAGTATTTTTTGGAATTAATCGTTTGGTTTTCCGGAAGGAGCTCATAATAGAGGACTCCCTTCCAATCCCACCATATACACAACATCACCTTCTTTGGATGAAGACCGGCCTTTGGTGTGGTTGGTGGTGGTTCATTTCCCTTGCCCCACGATCTCTTTCATTCCACATTGTTGTACAATATCCACTTTTCATCACCCATCACAATTTGTTTTAAAAACGGAACGTTTTCATTACGTTTCATTAGAGAATTTTATGCGGAAACGTGGTCAAGAAGGTTTTTTTCACTTATGTGGAACTCAAACATCAAAGCGATTCACATAACTAAGCTGGTGCAAATGATTTTCAGTGCTTGATTTGGATATTTTGAATATGTCGGCTATCTCCCATGTGGTATAACACTGATTGTTCTCAATTATTGTTTCAATTTGATCGCTATCAACTTCAACTGGTCTACCCAACCAGCAAGAAATCTCCGGCATGAAACTTTGCAAACCACTTTTTTTTTTTTTTTTTTTTTGCGGTACACGGGCCTCTCACTGTTGTGGCCTCTCCCATTGCGGAGCACAGGCTCCGGACGCGCAGGCTCAGCGGCCATGGCTCACAGGCCCAGCCGCTCCGCGGCATGTGGGATCTTCCCGGACCGGGGCACGAACCCGCGTCCCCTGCATCGGCAGGCGGACTCTCAACCACTGCGCCACCAGGGAAGCCCGTAAACCACTTTTGACACGTTTGATCAGTCACAGCACCTTCTCCATACACTGCACAAATCTTTTTGTGCATTCCAGTTGCATTTTTACCTTTCTTGAAATAATAAAGCATAATATGATGAAAATGTTGCTTTTTTTCTTCCATCTTCAGTATTAAAATGGCTACACAAAAATTCACCAATTTTGATGTCTTTTTTAAAATGCACATTGATATGACAGCTGTCACATACTATCTCACAAAATTGTTTCAAATGAAGTTAAAGACAACTAAGTGCTACTAGAGCCATCTTACGGAAAAAACCGAGCGAACCTTTTGGCCCACCCAATACATTTTACATTTATTCATTTTCAAATTGTTATATTTTAGTTATATAAACATTTTTATTGCTCAATTGATATATCTGTGAAAATCATATGTGTATTTTGGATTGGGAAAGAATGTATCATCATTTTCCCCATTAAATTAATGGGACTAGTTTTTCATTTAACAACTGTTTACTTAGCAACAGGGTTCTCAGAAATAAACTAAAACTGTTAATTGGGGGATAAGTGTATAATAAAGACATTTTCAAATACCCAAGTACTCAAAAACTTTTCCTCCCAAACACCCCTTTTCAGGCTCCAGAAAATATTGAGGATGAAAACAAAGAAATATGGGATTCAAGAAACAAGTGTTCCAACCCAGGGAAAGTGTAAGGAATTCCCAAGATGGTGTTGTAAAGAAGTCTTAGGATAGCTGTGGAGCATGCCTGGCTAGCTTCTGGTCTCAGTTATAGCAGTCTCTGGTCTGTAGGTAATGTAACTCATAAACTAGTACCTCTTGTCTTGGCCAGATTTTGATGGCATTGCCTAGTTGAGTTCATCTCCTGCTGGCTGCAGACCCAAGAGGCACTTGCACGTCCTCTTACTGTCAACCCTAAGCCTCTGCAGGGGTTCTTGTGCCCCTTCCAGCCGACCCCATGGCAAGCCCTCTACTGGCAATGCTCACTCGTGTCATTCAAGCTGGAAAGCAGCTTGAGAACGTGAATCCCTAAGGTCCCTCTCTCTCCTATCTCATAGGACATCAAGGACGTATGGCCCAGCCCCAGACTGGTACAAGAGCATTACACAAGGTAAACCCTTTCTACAACTTAAATAAGAGATTGGGGAACAGCCATGCTATTCCCCTCATGTTGACTTCACTTTTCTAAATCACCTATTCCTCTTTCTTAAACTAAGTCATGGGCTGGAGGGCGAGGGGAAGTTGTCATACACTCATGCTTACCTTTCTTTCTTACTGCCTCTTCCTGTTCTCCCCTGGGACCAGAAAATGGGCTTTTTGTTTGTTTTCCTTTCCCTGTGTCATATCTCCCTTCTGCTACTGAGCAGCAGCAAGCTTGGTTGCTTTTCTTTTATGGGGCAGAAGTGTCTCTGTACTACAGGAGAGCTCTATGAGACGGTCCTTCAAGCCCTTGATATTCTAATGGAGGAAATGAAGCAACTGAACAATTTTCTGTCTTGACTTGCTCTCTCCGCTGTAGTCTTGCTTCTTGACTAGATGCCTCTTTCTCCAGCCACTCCAGTGGTTGCTCAATGAGC